AGCAGCCGTCCGCCACAGAGCCCGGAACGACAATGAGCCGGCCGGCCGCGCGCACGGACCGACGGCCCAGGCCGCGCCGCGCTCGCACTTGGCGGGAACCGGCTGCGAAGCGGCCCCTGAGCTGCTGCTGCTGCCGCAACCGAGAGAGACGCAGAGCATGTGTGTGTGAGCACAGACGAGGACGTTGTGCAGTCGCTGAGCTCGGACGATTGACCAAAGAAGGCAGGTGGTCCCATTCCGCCCGCCCCCACATCGCCCTGCTGGCTTTGGGGGCGCGCGGGGTCAAGCTCACAGCACGCTCGGCGCGCGAAGTGACCTGTTGACCAAGTGGGCCTGGTCTGATGCTTGCTTGGAGCTGGTCCAGCCACAGCGAGCACGAAGCGGCCCATTACAGAGGAGTTGCAGTGAGTGGGGCCTGATTCCGTCAAACTGGCACTGAGCACCTCAGCAAACCACCTCAACTCAACCCCGACCCGGCTTCTAGCAGCTACCGCACGAAGGCTATCCGACCTAGTGCTGCTGGCCCTGGCATCCTGCTGAAGCAGAAATGCAGCATCAACAGCAGTTATATTTGGTGCAGGGCACGAGGTCAACGCGCACCTGCCCCACTTTGCCCTTTGCTCACCTTTGGAAGGCCATCTAACCAGAGCTTTCTTTCCTTCTTCGTTGTTCTGAGGGGACATCTCTCGCCCACTCAAAGACAAGTGCACGGCTTCGACAGTTCCAGCTCTACTGCACAAGGAACGGGAGCGAGAGCGGACCGGTTTAAACAGGCATACTTCGTCGCGAGGCACACGCTGAAGAGATGCCTGTGCCCGCCACAATTTCGCCTGGCAGGAGGTGGATTAAAACAGCGTACGGGCAAGCCGGCTGGCGAGGAAGAGCAAGCAACATGCGGCCAAAGCGGACCACCTGAAAATGATTTTTGGGATGGCACACAAACACACAAAGGAGAACAAAACTGCCAGCAGGGGGTCAGCAGTGTGCCACTGGCGATGCTCAGGCGGTACGAGGCGAGTTAAAATTTTTATCAACCGTAAAAACAAATTAAGACACTTCTGCTTGGAATGACAGAAATATCACTGCTTTTATGACAATTCAATGTGAAAATTAATAACGGCCAAAGAATGATCAGTGTCACTGACTAATACTCATCGCCATCGGCCTCACCCTCCAGCGAATCGATGCCAACCTGCAACTCACTTGCACTTACTTCACTGCACCAGAGCAACAGAGCAAACGAAAGCCAGCACTAAAACAGCACCTCCTCATAGTCCTTCTCGAGAGCAGCCAGATCCTCTCGCGCTTCCGAAAACTCGCCTTCCTCCATGCCTTCACCAACATACCAGTGCACGAATGCCCTCTTCGCGTACATCAGATCGAATTTATAGTCCAGCCGGGCCCAAGCTTCCGCGATTGCCGTCGTATTCGCGAGCATACAGACGGCGCGTGGCACCTTTGCCAAATCACCTCCAGGAACAACCGTTGGTGGTTGGTAGTTTATTCCAACCTGAAAACACCGATTCAGTGAGCTCCAATGTAAACCACCAATTCAAATACCTAATAAATAACAACGCACACCAGACTAGCTAGTGCGATCATGCGTTTTGTGCATTTGAGCCCATCGAACGATTGCCTATTAATGATTTTCACTGCTTTGCTTTGTACTTTTGCACTTTTGCAAAAATAGTTCAAACACTGGAAAATAGTCAAAAATTTCACGCACCAACGCATGAAAACTGAATTCAAAACCCTGGAAGGTGAATATCCTTCCGTGATTCCCGAGTTAATGGTTTACCCGCCAAAATTCTCACGGAGCCGTAGGTGATATTCAAGAGCGAGGGAACGCTGAATTTGAATAGGCAAGGTTGAGCGTGCGCAGGGGGTTATTACCCTAAGATTTCAGCCTCCTAGACTCCGTGGTTCCTGAGATATTAATTTACACGTAAAAAACTTTCACGGGGCCGTACATGTTACCCGCGGGTACGGGAAGGCTGAATTTAAATCTGCTGTGTCACTCACTGGCGGGGAACACTATACCAAAATCCCAGCCGCCCAGCTTTTGTGGTTCCCGAGTTGAAACGGGACAAAATGTGGGACACAAACACACACACAGACAACCCCGTGACAATATGCATTTTGTAATGCTGTTACACAGCATAAAACGCATAAAAATGTGAATGCGCATACCTTGAAACCAGTTGGACACCAGTCCACAAACTGGATTGTGCGTTTCGTCTTGATAGTGGCAATAGAAGCATTGACATCTTTTGGTACTACGTCACCACGATAAAGCAGACACACTGCCATATACTTGCCATGTCGGGGATCACACTGAAAAAGCAATCTTTTAAAACTGAGCAACTCTCTCAGGCCTCCTTCACCATCTACTCCTCCGCATTATCGCGTTCTTGAGCACTTCTCATCTTCTCCTTTGCCCAGTCTTTCACGACCGATAATTCGCATTGCAAAACTCTCCTTGGTGCTCTTTTTAGAACTCGAAAAGAAACATTACGTATCACTGCTCAACGATCTGCCTATGTGCAAGCAAACGAACTTGTCCAAAGAAACACGCTGCCCGAGCGCAACAGCTATGCAAGCTACCCGCATGCCCACCCACTACGCATTCAGCTTCCACCGAGCGAACAAAACCAAGCAGCAGCAAAAGAAATTAATTACTTTGACCATCTGATTTGTTGGCTCGAAACACGCATTCGTAATGTCTGCAACTGACAACGATTCATGGTAGGCCTTCTCAGCCGAGATGACCGGCGCGTACGTTGCCAGAGGAAAATGTATGCGCGGATAGGGCACCAAATTTGTTTGGAATTCAGTCAAATCCACATTCAGCGCGCCGTCAAACCGAAGTGAGGCGGTTATTGATGATACAACCTGCAAATGCTATCTGTTAAAACTGATTCATTATGAACAGAGCGCCGCCGCTCCGCCGACACAAAATTCGGACGTACACCTAACTGCAAGTAGGCTATGTCCCCTCTGTCCTAACTGCGTGCTTCTATGTAGCGTAAGATTAAATGCCGGCATTGCAGTCGCTTGAGAGATGACTGCGGTCTCGCGATGAATGTGGTGCCGTCGACGAATGAAAACTGCTACACTTCTCCCTCGCAAAATACCGTTGCGATTGCACAGGAAATACTCAGGGTACCCTCGCAAGCGTCGAGCAGGTGGTGCGTACCGTTTTGAGGAACGTAGCTCATGACCGAAGAGCATGATGCAGTTGAGCCCGACGATACGTGCGTACAGGCCGGCAACAATGCTAATAATATGTCAAGTGCCTGGACGGCCAACTTTGCTTACCTGGGAAATCAGCCGATTAAGATTGGTATAGGATGGCCTCTCGACGTTCAAATTACGACGGCAAATGTCGTAGATGGCTTCATTGTCAACCATAAATGCGCAATCCGAGTGCTCGAGAGTTGTATGGGTCGTAAGAATCGAATTGTATGGCTCAACTACGGCAGTGGAGACCTGCGGCGCCGGATATACTGAGAACTCCAATTTACTTTTCTTGCCATAGTCAACAGAAAGCCGTTCCATCAGCAGTGATGTGAAGCCGGAGCCGGTGCCACCACCGAACGAATGGAAAATTAGAAATCCTGAAATCCATGTTAACAGTGACGCGTCAATAATCCAACTTCTCAGGAAGCTTACAATAAAAATCGATTGATTACCCTGGAGGCCTTTGCAGTTCTCCGCCAGTCGCCGAGTGCGCTCTAGCACCAAATCAATGATCTCTTTGCCGATCGTATAATGCCCGCGAGCATAGTTATTTGCAGCGTCCTCCTTGCCAGTTACCATTTGTTCCGGATGAAAAAGCATCTTATACGTGCCAGTTCGAATTTCATCTGAAAAATTTCTAGCCTGAATTAACAGCTGAAAGACATGAAAGCGCACTGCAGCCGAGATAAGTCGAACAACATACCTACAACTGTCGGCTCCAAATCCACCAGTACCGCTCGAGGGACATGCCGGCCAGCTTCCGTTTCCGAGAAGAACGTGGAGAACGAGTCGTCCACTTGATTGTGCTTATCGGACGGCATGCATCCATCCGGCTGAATGCCATGCTCCAGACAAAACAACTCCCAGCATGCATTCCCAATCTGAACGCCCGCCTGCCCAACGTGCACCGAAATCACTTCGCGCTAAAACACAGAACATCAGCTCCGGCGGAAAAGCTCGCTCTGAAACACAGCTCCGTGCGCTGTCCGCTCCCTCCCGAAGCCGGCCTGCTTAACGGGATCACCAAGTGCGGTTTCCCGGAGCGGCGAAGCTGCAGAGGCAGCGGAACATGTCGTTTTATCGCACCACGGCAGGAACGCACATAATGGCAGAGAGAAGCTACGGAATTTCTTGTTACTGGCGGTAGGAAAGGACAAAGAAATGGCAACATAAGGTGACTGGTCACGAAAGGAGCTCAGAATCGAGGACGCACCTTCTTCAACAAGTAATTTTTTCCTCGAGAGGAGTGCAAGGCGGGAACTCCGGACGGGTGTCGAGGGGCGGCAGTACACAGCTGACCGTGTCCATCCCCGCTCACCTGCTCAAGCCACACAGCGGCCAGCACCAGCTCCTCCCGCAAAGGCGCGACTAAGGGCTGATGACCAGCGAGCACTCCTGAAACTGATGGGGCCACATTCAAGGAGCTCATTTCCCACAAGCAATTGACATCTTACCATTGTGATGAGATCAGTGAGCCACCGAATATGATGATGCCGATCGTGAACGAGGCGCTGCAACAACACAGAGACCTAAATGAAACGTTCTCGAAAGGCGAATTCAACGATGAAACAATACCGGCGGGCCACCTCGCAACCTCCCCTCCTCACTTTCAAATCATTTTTCCCCCCAGACTTTTTTGCACAAATCCAATGATTGCAGAAACTCGATACCGCGGCCAAGCAGATTTCTCCTGAAACTTCTGAACAATGAGGAAGCGCAAACACATAATCCCGGTCCATCAGGTGCTGCTGACCGGAACTCGTACTACATTGGAACGCGTAACTACACTCATGAAAGTCTGCGAACTGCCCAGATGGTCTGCTAAGATACACCTGAAAGACCAGTGAAGGCACGTACTCGGCCAAAAGACTTCTTCGCAGCAGACCAGCGCCGACACAATGCCAGAAGCCTTTCTCCCCTTCCACGGAGCTCCTCTCAAGAAAGGAGCGCTGTTCAGCGTGCCCTGCTGGTCAACAGCTTTCGCTCAACGCCGCTGAACATACTCCAGCGCAGTTCTCGAGCCGGGCTGTCTGCTGCCATGCCGCCTCCATTTACCCTCCCTTCCCCCC